AATGATTACCTATATAAAAATGATGTGCCTAAAGAGAAAAATGTATGTTTAACCTACTGGCCAGGCGTGGTGGCTCACGCCTGTAATCCCAGCACTTTGGAAGGCCAAAGTGGGTGGATCACTTATATCAGGAGTTTGAGACCAGCCTGACCAACATGGCAAAACTCTGTCTCTACTGAAAATACAAAAAGTAGCCAGGTGTGATGGCATGTGCCTGTAATCCTAGCTGCTTGGGAGGCTGAGGCATAAGAATTGCTTGAACCTGGGAAGCAGAGGTTGAAGTGAGCTGAGATCGCATCACTGCACTCTAGCCTGGGCAACAGAGAGAGACTCTGTCTCAAAAAAAGAAAAAAGAAATGAATTGCTAATTGTGGTGGACTTTTAGACATGAAGAGAAGGGAGCTAAAACCCCTCAAGTCACTACCACAAAGCAGGATGAAGGTATTGATTGGCAGAGGAAGAGGAAGAGGAAGTGGTTTTCCATAAGCACAGCTAGTGGTCCACACCATGACCACAGCACCCAGGCAGGAAGACAGCCCTAGCCATGCAGAAGCACACACCACAGATATGAGCATGCTGGCTGGGTGAGGTGGTGCTACCTAGGCGGCGGATGGAGCTCCTGATCTCCTTCGCGAAGCTGGAGTTGGACAAGGTGGTTCTCCGGGAGGTGAGGACAGGGATACGGGTGACTGGGGCGCGGTAGCTGGGCACATTAGGGAGGTGCTCCACCAGGTTTTGGAGGGCAGGGCCAGGGGCCACATGGCCAGGTGGCTGGTCCTGGACCAGGTGATTCAGCTCCATGTTCTGGCCTGGTGTAGCCATGGTGCTGGGGCCAGAGGGTCTCAGGCAGAGGTGCGACTGGGGACTGCAATTAGGAGCACAGAGTTGGGGGAGGCAATATAGGTGGGGGTCCTCCCGCCAGCCCAACATGACCAGCCTGATGCCTACCTGCATTTTCAGCAGTGCTACCCAAAACAGAAGCATCACTCTTGTCCCTGGAGTTCAATGTCTCGTGCGTCATCAGGTCACGTGGTTGGGCCACCCAAGAGCACCGAGGGACAGCCCAGGAGGCCCCCAACTTCTCATGCTCCCTCCACTTACCAACCACCAGCAGCATTTCCCAAAAAAATTAGAATCAAAGAACCCAGAACTCAGACTCTCAGATTCTTAGACCCAAAGAACCCAGGACTCATTCTTAGTACAGTAGAATTTTCCAGTCCCAAGCAGCCCTGGAGGTCAACTAATTTCACTTCCAACCAGCAGTAACTCTTCCGAGGGACCTGGTTTCCAAACTGGGCTGCATATTGGACTCACCTAGGAAGGTCTGACAATTTCTATTACCCAGGCCCATTCCCAGAGATTCTGATTTAATGAGCTGGGATGAGGCGTGGCAGCAGGAATTTGTACATCTCCCCAGGTGATTCCAATGGGCTGTCAGGTTTGAGAACCAGGGCTCAGGGCTACTGCCCCTCAAACACAAGCGTGCAGACCTATCAGCAGCAGGTCTTGTTACCATGCAGGGTCTGATTCAGCAGGTCTGGACTAGGGCCCAAGTTTCTCATTTCTAACCAGCTCCCAGGTTACGCCAAAGCTGCTTTTGAGTGCAAATGGCTATGCCATTCTCAGAGTGTGGGGCCCAGACCACCTGCTTCCAAATCACCTGGGGAAGGGGCGGAACCAGCCCCACTGAACCAAGCCTGCCCCTGTTTGCTCCTGGTCTTTTTCATCCACGTGGGGACCCAGCCCCAGGCCTGGACTTCGTAGGATTCCTATAGATACGTGTTGAAGTTAACAGAGAACCCTTTTCAAAGACCAGGTAGGAGCAAGCTCAGGACACCCAGGGTTAGGACACCTGGGTCCAGTCCCATTTCTGCCACTCGCTGGCCAGGACATATCCTCATCCCCAATATTGACTTCTCCCTCAGTGCCAGCCACAGTTCTGGGTGCCTTCAACAGTGTCTCCCTACCCTTCCCAGCAACCTGTGAGCCAGGTACTATTATTGCCTCGTTTTTCTTGATTTGGAAGTCATGGTTCAGAGAGGTCACAGAGCTGGCTCTGGGTCACACAGCAAGGAAGAGAAAGAGGAGCCAGGAGCGAAATGCAGATCTGTGCCTTGACCTCTTGGTCAAATCCACGCACACAGAGCCTCAGTTTTCTCATCTGTAAAATGGCCTGTCTGCCTCACAGAGTGGCTGAAGACCCACGGCTTGGGGAACATGGAGTGTAAGGCACGCGACAACCACCGGCCGGGGGTTGGGGTCTGCCTGGCCAGGCTCCATGGCCCAGCTGTGGCTCAGCTCCTGGGGACTCTTTCCCGTCCACTGCCTGAGTTCTCAGGATTGAGGGCAGGGTGGTAAATCACAGCAAAATGTATGTGCTGGGTACAGCCTGGAGATCAGGAAAAGCTCATAAAGAGACGTGGAGTGCAGAACACGCTGTTAGCAAGTTCTGGTTCCAGTTTTCACTCAGCTATGTGATGTCTGAGCCAAACCCTCACTGGGCGGTAGCCCAAGAGCTGCATCCTCATTGAGCTTCGGAAGTGGCAGGAGAGGCTGGCA